GAATTTTGCCTGAAACTCTCAGACTGAAGAAGTCTCTTGGAGTAGAGACGAAACGTTTCATTAGAGAAGAACCTGTCCAGAAGACCTACACAATTTTATAGATATTTATATATATATTTATTAATTATATTTATAATTATACGCTAATTAAATACTATATGCTATGGTAGCTGAATGCTACAGCCTACACGTTAGCTGAATGTTGTAGCTATACCAGTTGCTAAGTTAACACAGTTTACTACTTGGTGACTGAATGCTATAGCTTATACTATACACCAGCTGAGGGCTATATACTGTACTTCATGCTAGCTCATGCTATATACTAGCTTAGGGCTATAAACTTCGTGCTAGCTGAATGATATTTCCTATATGCTTAGCTGTGGGTCATTCACTTACTGACATAAAATGAGGATTTTTAATCAGTAGATAGGATTTAACAAACTTTCAGTCATGCTGCAGAAAGCCTTTAGATGTTAGGTAAATAAAAATAACAACTATCTGATTAATTCATGTCAGACAACTCACTATAAAACACCAAAATGAGAGCATTTCAGCATTTTTTTTTTTTTTTGGACCGCAGGACTCCACAGTCCTGTCTCTTTTACAACACCACATTTTGATGTTCTACTTTAATTTCCCATCATCACTGCAGAAGCAGACGTCAATGTAAACATAAAAATCTCCATGCAGGTGAAACATCAAAGTGTTTCCTCCGTAACGACCTCTCACAACACAGTCAATAAATGCTTTACTCCAAACAAAACCATAGCCTGTCTAATGCAGGCAGCCCATCAGCACTGTATACACCCCTCAGCTGGAACTTCTGCTCAATGAAGCGTCTCTGTGGTAAACGGTTCCGCCGCTCTGAAATATGGACGGAAATGTTCTCTGAGAGCATGAATCAGCTGTAATTATCCCGTCTGTGTGGTGAAATATTAGTCATGGGTCACAGAACCATCAACAGAACTTAGATTGTTTTGCTTGTGCAGGTAAATGTAGTTTACAAACTGTTCAGAGTCCCTCTTTCTCCATAAGTTGATTGTATTTTGTGCAGAAGACAGAAAAAAAAACTCCAAAYGCTGGGAATGTTTTAATAATGAGGACTGACAGGAGTTATTGATCACTCTGTTTTTGAAACACCAGCGAGGCCAGACGCTGAGCGAGGACCGCTGCACACGGTCGTGTCACGTCTGCAGGAAGGTCTGAGCTCATTTCAGGCAGAAATGAGGGAGTTTTCCTGACTTTATGGTGAGTTTGTTGTATTTAAGCGGTGATTGTTTGCAGTAAATCAAATGTGCTCCGGCTGGTTTGTAAAATAGTGTAAGGTTGAAGCGGTGAAGGCTGTTAACGAGGACAGTTTGCAGATGTAACGAACGCTCCCGCGGTGCTGAGTGACAGCACAGCTCCTTCTGCCTGAAGCTTCCTGCGAGTCAGATTTATCTCCACCAGCTGAAGTTTGCTACAAATAAAGCATCGCTGTCACTCATGGAGACACTTTGTGAGCCACGTTAACATGAAGAAAAATAAACTGTCTTTAACGATTTTTAATTTATGACTTTTTGCAGGTTAAGTTATCTAGATTGCAACAGACATCAGCGTACGTCTGAGTTTATTGGTGCCTTTAAAGATAAATTAATATTAATACTAAATATAAAATATGAGAATTCAACAAACTATATTAATGTTTGTTGTGACTGTAGATTGTTTACAGAGTAAGTATGTACATTTCTGAGTTTCTTAATTAGCAGCAACTTTTAGCTTAAGTTTTAGCTAGCATTTTTAGCTTTCATAAATTATTTTACTAGTCCTAGCTTCTATCAAGCATTTTGTTACTTTTACAGTAACTCTAGCCTTTAGCTACTTTTAGCTTTCAGCTACCATTATGATACTTTTGGTATCTAGCAAGCCTTTTTTTATTTTTAGCCGCTGTAACCTTTTGCTGTTTTGGTTTGATGTCTTAATACTTTTTGCTTCTAGCAAGATTTTGTTACTCTTAGCTTAGCTTAAAGCTAGCTTTTGGTACTTTTACCTTTGAACTAGTCTTTGGATACGTTTAGCTTTCAGCTAGCCTTCAAAACTTTCAGCAATATTTTTACTATGCATAGCTTCTACCAAGCATTTTGTTACTTTTGCATTAAATCTAGCCTTTAGCTACTTTTAACTTTCAGCTAAAATTAAAATTCTAATACTTTTGGCATCTAGCAAGTCTTTTGTTATTTTTAGCCYCTGTGTAGCCTTTTGATATTTTGGTTTCATGTAGTCTTTTAATACTTTTTGCTTCTAGCAAGCTTTTTGTTACTCTTAGCTTAAAGGTAGCCTTTCAATAATTTTAGCTTAAAGCTAGCTTTTGGTACTTTTACCTTTTAACTAGTCTTCAGGTATTTTTATCTTTTAGCTAGGCTTTTAAACTTTTAGCAATGTTTTTACTACGCATAGCTTAGCAAGAATTTCGTTACTTTTGCAGTAAGCCTTTAGCTACTTTTAGCTTTCAGCTATTTTTATTACTTCTAGCTTCTATGCAAGCTTTTTTTATTTTTAGCTTAAAAGTAATCTTTTGATACTTTTAGCTTCTAGCATGTTTTTTTGGATACTTTTAGCTTAAGTATCTTTTTGCTACTCTTAGCTTTCAGCTAGCTTTTTGCTGCTTTTAGCTTCCAACTAGACTTTTGATCATTTTTGCTCAACTTTTATCTGCTGAATTTTGTCTCCATCAGGAGTTTAGTTCATATTCAAACTATAACATCCSCTAAAATCACCTTAAAAAAAACAGGAAAATCTTTTTATACGACATAAACGACAGAACTCATTTGTAATTTGTTTTGTTTTGTTTTTTTAAGCGACAGATTGTGAAACTCATTAAATCTAAACAGATGAGCTGAAAAATCTGATTTTTTACATAAATATGATGTGAAAAATGGCGACATTTGTTCAGGTGAAAAGAAGAATCCTCCTTTTAAAGAGGAGTTGCAGGACTTGGGCCTGAATGCGCTCCAGAGGAAAACAGATCTAAGCTGTAAGGTGACCAGATGAGGAAGAGGAGGAAGAGAAGAAACACAGCATCTCTGTGTCTCCTCTTCCTCTGCCTTCATCCTGTCCTCCGTGTCGCCCTACGACTTCCAGAAAGCAAAAGCGTCATTAAGAGCGCCACCCAATCCTCGCTGGCAGGCCTTCAAAGCTGTGGCACCAACTTGAGCTGAAGATGAAGAGGCAGCTCGACGTTTAGATAATCCACGGCAGGTTTATTATCTGCTTTAACACAAACTAATTGTGACACATTATTATTATTATTTATTAAATCACGAGGCTTCGTGAGCAGAACAGAATTTTGTTGCTATTTTCAGACCCTGTAACCGAACACGACAGCTTGTTTGTTTTTAAGAGTTTGGGGTTTAGACGAGAGGAAGGCAAATTAAAATGTTTCAGGTCTGTTTTTAAGGGGGGGAAATGGAAAGCTGATCATAAATGTTCCATTAACTCTTTGGGAATCACTTCATTTTGAAGTTCTGACCCTTTGTGTTTCCCTCCATGGTCAGCAGAGTTCGTAGCCATGATGATGATGATGATGATGATGATGATGATGATGGGAAACTGAGACCCTGTGGTTGGGAACCAGAGCCGGTCACAGAACACCCTGATAAAATTCCCGACGCCCAACATTCCTTTAGTTTCCCACTCCCCTCCACTCTGCCCTGATATCTGATCCGGACGAGGCGTTCAGGTTTCAGTTTTTACAGCTTTAGCCAGACTTTACCTCCATTCTCTCATTTTTTTCAACTCTTCCTCCTCCTCATCCTCCTGGACTAATGGTTTAATTGACCACTTTACGAAACACTGTCAAACTGTTTAGGATCTCCTCACGAGGGCATCTCTGGGTTTTTGTCTCCAACAAGCTGTTGATGTTTTCAGCTCCAGAAGGAATCAACCCAAAGTGATGCAACAAGTTWGATGTTTTTGTTTCTGGTAGAGCTGCATAAATAAAGAGCCTGGATTCAGGCTTATTTCCAAACAGCTCCTTCATCTCATCTTGATGAAGATGAGCAGCAGGTGTTCCTCTGGTAGCCCTCCTTTCTTTCCCAGATTCAGTCTTTGATTCACTTCCTTTCTTTTCTTCGGATTTTTGGATTTTACGGTGCAGAAAATTATAACCTGTCAGCTCATTAACTCCAACACGACTCCTAAATTAAAGGGAAGAACCAGGGTCGAGTCCAGAACCGGTTTTAGCTCTTACCGTTAGCAGCGATGCTAACGCCTGCAACTGAGTTAGACTAACTTGAGAACACTAAGCTAAAGTTTTGTTTTTTATTCGTATTTATTTTAGAGTACAATGCATTTGAGCAGAAAATATGTTAATGTTGGAAAGTTTTATTATATTCAGGTAAATGTGCAAAGCTATGTTGTGAACAATAAACTGTAACCCCTTCAGTCATTTAAGACAGTGGTTCCCAAACTTTTTATCTTCTGACCCACAAAATATCCATGGCTTAAACTTGTGACCCCAAATATTACTGGTCTGAGTACA